GCAGAAAAACAGCCTCAAAGCATGATGTTTCCACCCCCATGTTTCACAGTAGGTATGGTGTTCTTTGGATGCAACTCAGCATTCTTTCTCCTCCAAACACGTCTAGTTGAGTTTTTACCAAAAAGTTCTATTTTGGTTTCATCTGACCATATGGCATTCTCCAATCCTCTTCTGGATCATCTAAATGCTCTCTAGCAAACTTCAGACGGGCCTGGACATGTACTGGCTTAAGCAGGGGGACACGTCTGGCACTGCAGGATTTGAGTCCCTGGCGGCGTAGTGTGTTACTGATGGTAGCCTTTGTTACTTTGGTCCCAGCTCTCTGCAGGTCATTGACTAGGTCCCCCCGTGTGGTTCTGGGATTTTTGCTCACCGTTCTTGTGATCATTTTGACCCCACGGGGTGAGATCTTGCGTGGAGCCCCAGATCGAGGGAGATTATCAGTGGTCTTGTATGTCTTCCATTTTCTAATAATTGCTCCCATAGTTGATTTCTTCACACCAAGCTGCTTACCTATTGCAGATTCAGTCTTCCTAGCCTGGTGCAGGTCTACAATTTTGTTTCTGGTGTCCTTTGACAGCTCTTTGGTCTTGGCCATAGTGGAGTTTGGAGTGTGACTGTTTGAGGTTGTGGACAGGTGTCTTTTATACTGATAACAAGTTCAAACAGGTTCCATTAATACAGTTAACAAGTGGAGGACAGAGGAGGCTCTTAAAGAAGAAGTTACAGGTCTGTGAGAGCCAGAAATCTTGTTTGTTTGTAGGTGACCAAATACTTATTTTCCACCTTAATTTGCAAATAAATTCTTTAAAAATCAGACAATGTGATTTTCTGGATTTTTTTTTTCTCATTTTGTCTCTCATAGTTGAGGTATACCTACTAGGATGAAAATTACAGGCCTCTCTCATCTTTTTAAGTGGGAGAACTTGCACAATTGGTGGCTGACTAAATACTTTTTTGCCCCACTGTACATTCTTACTGAGAATATTTAGCACGGGACAACCAAGAAACAGAGTAGTTATTCACAGATGTAACGTTCTGTAGCAAGACGCAGGCACTTTACTCGGGTCTTGAGGAGCTGCAGTGTTTATTTTTGGAGCCACTGAAATCTACTCTGTCTATTTACTACCACTTGACAAGTTTACTGTTCATTTCTTCTCTGCTCCGAGCACATCCACAGTATCTGTCTCTGTAGGAGTGTTAGTATGTGTGTGCGTCTATTGAGTTTTGTTTGGAGTTTGGTGAACTTTGACTCTCACTTAAAAGGTATAATGTTCTACAGCAGGGGTGTCCAAACTACGGCCCGTGGGCCAAATGCGGCTTGACGTATACACTTTCTGTTCCCCCTTATTATAATCAATCTGAGGCTTCTGTTTTAAGGAATGAGCTAAACACTTTTTGTAATAAAGTAATTGGAGAGCATCATTTACCTACATTTGATTGATTTTGCTAACTTATAATATACCTCACATTTGTTAACGAACTTCAAATGTGTAGCTCTACAGTATATGATCACACTAACCCCGCTAAATGTGTCTTTCCGTTCTGCGTCTTCCCTCTCCGCCTTAGTGGAAGACATGCGGTCTGACAGTTTTCCCTGCTACTACCAACATTTTAGCAGCGTTTTGCAGGTGGATAGCACCAACAAAAAAAAAGTCCTAAATAAAAAACATTTAAAAGCTTGAATTGCCAATTTATGACATACAGTAGGCTTACACCCTTTAAATATGTATAACACCTTATCTCTTAATACAAAGATAATCATTGTTGCATATTTTATGTACATAAAGACTATACAAGTCTTTTTATTCTTTAACCAGTTGGTGTGTTGCAATAGCAATTGACTTTAACATAACATAATTGTATTTTAATGAGAAACCAAGCAGATTTATTCAAGAGTGGCAGTAATATGTTGCCATACACTGAGATAACCAGATGTTGAATGTTTTATGTTCTGTATGAGCTTCTGGCTGATGGAGCTCCCTCCTGGCACAATCAATGATAACCGCCGCTGGCACCAAGTTGGAGTTACCACACCATGAAACACACACAGGAACACACACTTTCACACGCATAACACACACACAAACGTGCAAAGCTTAACTTTAGCTGTAAGCAACCACAACATGAAACATGTGCACACATCCCTATCAGCCATACTGTACATGCAACACTCTCTGTCACAGGCAATGGAGCGAGGCTGCAGATTAATGTGTACGGTGGTGTGTAATCCTTCTCTGCTCTCACTCTGAAGACTTGGTGATGTTGGGAAGGTGGAGTGAAGGGAAGGATGATGGTCCTGAGTGGAGGACATCATTTGTCACTGGAGGTGCTAAAGCTGGTAATCTGTCGTGAGCTTTCACTTAGGGAAACAACTTTGGCAGCTTCGGTAATATATTTTGACTGAACGTCAGCAGGAATGCGTGAATCACAATAATTTTCTTTCCTCTAACATATTTACTCAATAATTTTGTTGCCGCCAAGTACAATTTATGGCATTATAGATCTGTGGTACAGCTCCTCTCTCCTCTCTAATGGTGACCTGTAATTACTGTGCAAGTGCAATTACAATTGACTTCTATTATAAGCACATTCAGCATCATCTGTAAATGGCAATTGTCATGTAAATGCCTGATTGTCTTAACTGCACCAAGGTTCGAAGGACCATAAATAAAACCTTAATAACACCAGTTGAACTAGTTTGATTATTGCCCTGTGATTTGATTTGTTCATGCATGTGTTCAGTCAGATTTCATTCAGTGGTTTGAAGTTGTGAATATGCCAGAAAGACTGCAGAGTAACTGAAGCAGAACAGTGTTTATGTTCACAAACGGCAGCAAAGCCAGTGGTGATGGGAAAGTAAACTCTTTTGAAGTAAATTCATCACGCTCTCTCCATTTTCCTTCTCTAATGAATAGTTTCCTGTTTGCTTCCCGACAAGCTTGCAAACATTTACGCAGTGATTACATGGAAATAGTCAAATGTTCACATTCGTTTTTTAAATTCTGATTGTCTCTCTAGCAAGGGTTTTGTTGAAAAAGAAATCAAGAGCTGGATGGAACTCGCCTATTTAAGTAGTGGAACGATTAATACATATTTCAGCAAGTTAATTCTTTTTATGTGGCATTCTTTATGTCATTTTGAAAATGTCCTCCCAGTAGTTTAAGGATTCTTGGCTTGCAGAGTTATTTCTTTCAACGATTGATTATACAAAACATAATATTGCGATTCTCAAACGTTTTGATATTTTCTAATATCGCATAAGTTAGCAAAATTAGTCAATGACACATACCGTAACACATATTTCACGTAATAATCCCTCTAATTGTGTTATCAAAGGAACGTTTTACGCTTAAAAAATGAACTTGTCAGTGCTCTCTGCTGGACCAGCTATGTAACAACTCTTTCTATAAATAAAACAAATTCTTCTCGCAGACATATAAGTTGATTACGATAGAGGGATATCTTTGATAAGCAAATATCAGCTGATATATTAGCCTGTGCGATAAAACAGTTTAAATCTTGTTGGTTTTTATGTGTGTTTCTAAGTAAAAAATAAATAATAATTCAGGTGTTCTTTGTGTGAATTTGACACCTGGAGTGTTTTGGCAGTCAGTGGGGGTGTGATACAGATGCTTGCAGTACCAAGCTATTAATAGTTGCCAAGTGGGTATTTGCGTGTGTTGTGCCCGTGTATGTGTTTGACACCGCTCAGCCCTTACCAAAAATGTTTGCTATTTTCTCGAGAGTTTGTCTTTGTTGTACATTCAGGTTTAAGGTTGTGACATTATTCCTTCAGGATAAGCCACACAATTTGATTAAAGTTTTAAAATATCAAAATAGACATTTAAGTTGTTTAATCAGACATGTATTGCGCTGGTCCTCACCTATGTGCATTAGTATCTTTCCCAACAGTGAGATTGAGTTAATAGTAGTAGTAGTAGTAGTAGTTGTTCTTGATGGAATATTAAAACATTACCTGGAGATTGAAAAATAATGTTGATGAATCATCCTAATTTTGAGTCAGCTTGTACACGTATGGACTCCAAAAAACACCTACTCAACTGTCATCTTCTTCCTCCATTTCCTCCCCAATTCACCAAATAGTCCCCTACAACTGAGCTTTTAGCGTAGTAAAATGTAGGCAGGGGAGAGGGAGTTTAAGGGTGTTTAAAGCGCTATTGGCTTATGTAAACACCAATCAATAACCACTAGTCCCTCCAAAGCTCACTGTTTTTAGAGAGGAAAATAAATATGCACGATCAATTAGCATTCTGCTAGCTGTTTCGTTGAATATTTAAGTCGAAAATGCTTTAAGTTCCTTGTGTCCAGATACTGTCCGTCATCTCTTTGTTTTGATGTCAAGACCTAAGTGACATCCAACAGCATGGTGGTGATGGCATACAGCTTGTCGGGGGGGTTAACAGCTATATCCCCCCCAGAATAAAGAACCTGTTGTTCAGAGAAATCACAGCGATCCCTGTCTCTCTGTGCCTCTGTCTGCTCCTCACTTGTTCTTTCATCCTCTCCCTGGTTTCACTGATATCACATTGTTTTCTCGCCCTCCCAACCTCACGCCTGCTTCCCATCACCCACTGTCATTTTTCTCTCCTGTCTGTTTCTCACCCCTCCTTTCTCTGATCTCTCCCTATGTGTCACCCAGGGCTTTTTGTTCCCATTTTCTCCCCTTCTCCCTGATCCACTCCCTCCTGCCTCATTAGCTAAATGTGTCATTGGTGGAGAGCTTGTTGAAGCTGAAAAGGCGTGGTCTTTCTGTCTTTTCAAAGTGTCTCTGTTGAGGCTCCATTCAGACATTTGATTGGTTGGATGTTGTTTGGATTTCCACCTTGTGTTCATGTCTCCTTCTCTTCTTCACTCTACGCCTGCCACACACACTCTTACACACACAACTCAATCAACCCAGTCGGACAGCCAGTGCCGGGCGCAGTTCTGTTCCAGTTTCCAGTAAGCTGATCCTGCTGGCAGAGGCTACTGGGGAGACTTCCTTTTCTGGAGGGACCTGATGCATCGTGTTAATGATCCTCTCTCTCTCTCTCTCCACCCTTCTCTTCCTCCCTCTCTCTTTTTCCCTCACTCTATGAGTCTCTGCTGGAGAGTCTCCTTTCATATCACAACGTCTGAGCTGGGAGCAACCGCAGAAATCTTCCAGCGGGCTGAGTGAGGCGACAGTGTGGATCACGCCCCCCTCTCCTGTGTCAGCCTTACGCTCTTTCACTAACACCATTAACACCATTTCATACTCATTGTCTCTGTCCCTTCTTTCTCTCTTTTCTCACTGTCTCTTTTTGTTGTGCCATTTTCTGGTGCGTCTTTGTCTCTTTCTCTTTTTGTAGAGTGTCTCCAGTCTTCATCCTCAGGTAGGCAGCGCCAAAACCAGCCGGGAAAACACTCCTTCAGTCTACCTCTCCCTCTCTTTAATGTTATATTCCTTCCTTTTATCATACAAATCAACATCCTCCTCCTCCTCCTCATCTTCATCCTCCGCCTCTATCTCTCTACTCTCCTCCTGCCTCCACACCCTGCCTCTAAGCGCGCTGGAGAGAGTCGCCAATTGCGCACGGCAAGTGGGAGTGGACCTCGGCGTGCGTGCCTGCAAGTGTGTGTGTGTGTAAGAGTGAGTGTCTGTCTGTGAACTCGGAGAGGAAGAGAAGAAGAGGAGGAGGGAGTGAGCATCAGCACAGTCTTCCCAGTCTCTACTCTCTTCACGCGCACTCCCACTCTGCATGGAACAATCCTTCCTTCACTGCTTCTAAATGGACATTTCTGTGGCAATGTTTCTCCAGTGAAGACAACAGCTGCTTGCCGCTCCCCTCCACAAGCTCCTACATGCTGGATTTAAAAAACAAAGTGAGGAGAGGAACAGGGGGAGATCTCTGAACATGAGTGAGGAAGCTAAGGAGAAAGCGGGCAGTGGAAAAGCAGCCCATCGCAAGAAGAAAGGCAAAAAGGTAGGAGAGAGAAAGAGCTGTGTTTGTCTTAGGGCGCTTGGTTTTGCTCAGTTGTTGCTCAGGGTCAACAAAATATGTTTTTGTTTTTTTTGTAGGGGAAGTAAGAGGTTGTCGGGTGATGTGTGAATAATGGGTGAGGTTGATGAGCCCATGACAAAGTGACTCTTTGGTGATGTTGTTGATGGTTTTTATTTAAAGTACAGCCTGTACACCTGGTTGTTTTCCTCTTAATAGTACTCTCAAGTTATTTAAAACCTGTTCAATCTTCCTTAAGCTCGCATGTGGCTCTCAAATGGGGAAGACATTTTTGTCTCGCCTCACCTGGAATGCTACAAAAGCCCATTGAAAAGCTGTCTGTCAATCACAAGTCACCATTTATTATTACAATCCCGACGCTGCGACTGGTCGGTCTGGTTCTTTTGCTCAAGGTGATTGGCTAAGGGAGCAGCGGTATGTAAAGTGCAAAGAGAGTGTGTATAATGGGAGGCAAGGGGATGTCCTCGGGGGTTAGGGTGGGGGCAGGTGGATGCACGCACCACGCAGGCATCAGTAGTACTGTCAAACGCCTCCACAGCTGTGTGTTTGTGTGTGTGTGTGTGTGTGTGTGTGTGTGTGTGTGTGTGTGTGTGTGTGTGTGTGTGTGTGTGTGTGTGTGTGTGTGTGTGTGTGTGTGTGTGTGTGTGTGTGTGTGTATCAGGTACATGTATTTTACGTATGCATGTCTTGTTGTTTTCCTCAGGAGTTGTCATTATGGCTCTTAAATTGAAGCGTTTGAAGCCACCGAAACATGTTTTGACTCATGAAGTGGAATGTGTGTGTGTAAGGTGTGTGTACTTATATGTGATTTTCAGTTTGTGGTTTACAGTTAAACACCTTCAGCGTGTCTGTGGGATTAGCATTATGGAGCGAGTCTCTGGCCCTTGCCTCCCCTGCTGTTGTGTCAGCGAGGCTCGTCTATGATAAATGTGTTTTGTGCTGGAAGCCACTGATCATACCCAAACAATGTGACAAAATACACCCGCTCACACACACAGGCAAAGGGTATTTTCCAGATCATTTGAGCTCGGATTGGGCTGAAGCTACTCGAGGTGGCCCTGGAGATCAGGGATTAACTGGACAGGGAAAGACCAAAGCAGAGAATGAAGGCACAGTTACAGCAGACAGCCACTATAGCTTTTACACAGCTGAGTGAATCTGTTATTTAGTTTCCCATTAAATAATGTATAGCTGTTGATGTGTGCCAACCTCAGTGGTGAAGCTTTCAGTCTGGTTCTGTAATGGCAGCGAGAGACAAGATGTTCCAACTATTGACTTCAACAATGACATTTGGATATAAAAGACTGTCACACAGTGAGTGGGCAGAGGGGCTATTTAAAATCACTTACAAGACCAAATTGATTTAATATAACAGTCCAATAATAAAAAAAATACAAATGGTTATATTACTTAGGAGAAAATATATATTTCAGATGAATTATATATGTGCAAGGTGGTCGATTCTTTGAAGTTACCAAACTAAATATTTTAAAAAGAGCCAATATCATAGCAATTTCTGCTCATAAGCCTTAAAAATAAAGTAAAAGGAGTTTTTTTTTATCAGATAGTGTTCAATGGCCAAGTTATCAAGCAACAAATATAGCACAGTTTTAGTACAAACTTACATACAAATATACATCCAAAGAGTTGCACAAAATAGGTATAAATGCAAAAGCCAACTATTATGATCATTGATTCATCATTAGTAGTAATTTTGTATGCAAAAATGCTGCTTACAGCATCTCATAAAAGTAGATTTCCTGCTTTTATCTGTTTTATTTCATATAAAAGTAAAACTAAATGTAATAAACCAATCAATTAATCTAAAAAGCAACCAGCACATTAATTAATAATCTAAATAATCATTACTCGCTGTCTTAAGAACATTTGTGGACTGGAAAATGTACAGTAGTGCAGAGTGCAAAGGGTGCTGCTAATATATGGAATGAGTAATGTAACAGGTTGCTTTATGATGTGGGTGGATATGAAAGTATATACAGTGTGCTTAGACCTATCTCTGGTTAAATTGAGATTGAACTATAAATCTTGGTATCTGCTTAAGAAATCCAGTAGTTAAGCCCTTCTTCATTACACAGAGGCAATGAATTATGAATAATATTTTTAAACGGAATGCTAAACATCAGTTTGGAACATCCCAATATTATGAAGACTCAATTATTCTCAACATCATCTCCATATCCCGACGGATTAAGTTAAAAGAGATTGGCTTCAATTCACCAACAGGATTATGACTGAGACCAAAAGTTCTCCGTTGATGTATTTCCCCAACAAGCCCCGACCCCTTATCTCTCGCTCACAAGCTCCAGATTGCAGCCATAAAACTGAAGAACAGTGTAACGAAACGCTGCATATTAATGCTTTCATACATAATGTTGTTTGCTTGTTGTATGCAAAATGTGCGTCCATGTGTGTCTGTGCTTCACCCAGTGCGCATGTGTGGACAAGATAACTATGCCAGATGTGTAAATGATTGTAGCCATGGCAACTAGTTCCTGCTCTGAGCGATAGATGTCGAGGGTGAGAAAGAGAGGGGGGTGGCAGGGATGGAGGAGGTGGATCTGGTGAACTTGGTGGCCACAGAACAGAAATATATTTTTCATGAGGCAGCTGCTGTGATGGGGGAAGCTCAAGGATAGAATCAAACATCTTCTGACTGAAGGTCTCAGACTTATCGCGATTATAGCGAGGGTCGTAAATCAACACCATGTCGGGTTTGCCTTTTTGTGGGTGTTTGGGCTTATCTCTGTGTGTGTGTGTGTGTGTGTGTGTGTGTGTGTGTGTGTGTGTGTGTGTGTGTGTGTGTGTGTGTGTGTCTAAGTCTAGCTTGTATATTTGAGTGTCTAATAGTGAGTTTGTGTAGCACTTAGATGTTTTCCCCAAATGCTCTATGATCTCTGAGAGGCTTAATGATAAGAATGTGATGTAGTGATAGAGATAATGAGGATTACATAACACGCAGACACACAAACACAAACAAACACACATTCACGGTATTAAGAGGAATTCAGTTGCATATATTCCCACCACACAGAAGCTGCTGTTGGGTCAAGAAAAACCCTTTTTCTCGTGTGTGTGTGTGGGTTATTGTGTGCATGAATTAGACTAGGTTCTAGTGAAGTTCAATATAGGACATTTTTCCTGCATTTATGAGACAGAAATAAGGGTGAAATTGTGCCTACAAGATAATAAAAAAAGACCAAAGGGCACTATATATAGAAGTATTTCATTTCCACAATCCTAATAACTAAGCTCCACAAAATGCAACTGCTTGAAGGAAAGGAGAAAATTGCTTTTATTAGAAGCACAATAAAAATACATAATATCTACCCTGACTTGCATAACTCTCTTATTTGATTATATTCAGGCCTATACCCAATAAAGAGCAGATAGTCTAAAGCAGTGGGTTGTGAATGGTTGGGGATCTGGTGTGAGCTTTTCAAATGATGAGTCATCTAAACTTAAATGATGGACAGAGAAAGTAGTGCTAAGGATAACTTTACATGTTCCCAACATCAACAGCTTTTCTAATAAAGTCCTAAGCAAAGTAAACAAACCATTATATAAGAGATGCTTACTGTACTCACCAATTCTTTTGAAACGCTAACGTTTTTCTTGGCTTTTACTGTATTTTCCCAAAATAAGCTGCCCTCAGCTGTAATGCGTGTTGTGCTGTATGTTTACACTTCAGATGATTGTGTAAGGAAAGGCAGTGTGGGCTGTCAGAAAAACTTAAGCAGAGCTGTTTTTGTCAAAAGCACTGAAGGAGGAAGACTGCTGAGGAATAGGGTATCACTGAAACACTGAAATTCTGTCACAGAAAGCCATATTTCTCCACAGTATATTCTGCTGCCACTCGTCAGAGTATATTTCACACTTTCAAACAGCTAAAAGCTTCCCTGAGAGGTCATTCACCTGTTGATTTATATTCTTAGATAACTCAAACCAAAGCTTTAATAAGAGGTGTTCACCAATCTCGTAACTATAACATGTTTTATAGTAGATTTTCAGCAGCAAAAATGAACACGAGAAAATGAACAGGATGGATGACTTAAGCTTATTTTCGAAATCCTTCCACTTTTTCTGGACTGAATACATGTCTCTTTTGTGTTGCCTCTGCTGTCTCGTTCATAATGAGACAGCAGACCAGGGCAGCTCTGCTCTTTGTCTCGGATGGAAAAACCCTGCCAGAAACGGAGAGCCCTGCGTCTGGAGGACTGGTGAAATAAGCTGTTCTGTGACAGTGCCTTCAAAGAGAAATGGCACATCACAACCCCCTAGATAACAGCGAGTGGTGAATGTGCTGATGGAGGATGAGAAATATGTGTGTGTGTGTGTGTGTGCATGGGTGCGTGGAGAGAGACTGAGAGAGAGGGAGAGAAAGAAGACAAAGTGCTGCTTTTGTTTTTCAGATTAGGCTAATGGACTTGGCACAGATTAAATCCTTAAGAGGTGTAGGTAATGCTTCATGGGCTGTTTGGGAAAGAGTGAGTGGAGAGAGGGAAATACAGTAAATACGGCTTAGTGCTAAAGAGAGCTGACATACTTAGTTGATCATCAAAAAAACTATTTGTAACATTTCAATACCAAATAATTTAAAGGGACCCTCTTATGGTTTTCCATTCCCTGTAGTGTGTTATTGAGGGTTTTAGTGCATGTAAATGGTCTGCAAAGGCTACAATCCCAAAGTTCCCTCCAGAGGGGGTTTCTCTCCCACACACTCCCCCCTGCCCAAATCACCTCCATTGGACTACTTTGTTGACATCACTATGCAACACTTGCGCTTCTATTGGCTATCGCTCCAACACATTGTACGTGATAGGCTTAGGGGCGGGACATCTCTAAACGGTTGACTCATCACAACAGAGCCGGCCAGCTAACCAATCAGAGCAGACTGGACTCTGGTTTCAGACAGAGGGTGAAAAGAGGTGCTGCAGCACAGGCAG